TCACATGTCATTTTAACCAACGAATCAGCTGACTTCACTCACTTTACTCAGTCATTCCTAACCGCTCTGTTTAAACCATTGTATCCAATGGTGTCTTCCCCATTGTTCAGAAATGCAACTTCTTGCCATTTTTTATTTCATCCTATGCAGACTCATTAGCAGCCATTTTCCAGGCCTCCTTTCTTGCGGCTTTCCGCGTTTGAGGCGATCACTGAAACTCGTTTCCAGAGTTGGCACCATTCGCCTGTCAGAACTGGCTATGTGCGTCGTCAATCAGTCGGTGCTTCAAAGTTATCGCATGGCTTTTTCACAAACGATCCCTATCCACTGCACTCGAACCTTTTCAAGTTATTACGTGTCCACTGTGCGTGAATGCAGTACAGTGCCCGTTGCTCTCGCAACAAGCTCACCATCTGCCAATCACCACAGATTGATAGTTACAGCCAGGATTCCCAGAGATCGAAAAACAGCACTGACGTGTGAGTGATGAATTACGAAGGTGTGCAACAAAGTTCGACTGCTTTGGTTACATCATGGTTCGCTCTGCTTTATTTCGACATGCAAGAGGCAGTTTTGTGCTAAGGGCTAAATTCTTTGTCAAGTCTTATGTCATACGTATTGGCTGCTTTGTATGTTGTTTGTATGACTGCTCATTTATTTTTTTACTCTGAAAATCCGAATTTATTTGATAAAAAACATAAATTTAAATAAATAAATTTTTAGTCGCGTTCTATCGGCAAAACTTATTAACTAAAACATAGGTTTCATAATCTGAACAATTTTTATTAAAAGGAAAGGAAAGTTTGTAACCGCTTGAATTATAGTCTTCCTCACTTTCGCTGATTGGGCGCTAGCACTGTAGCACCATCCTTTTATAAACCTTGCAATATGCGCTAAAATCTCTGTTTCTCTGTCATTAGGTAAGACTGCCCTGTTTTCGTTGGTTTGCAGGATATATCTACAAGTAGGACGACTATAACGTACAGTTTCAGTTTCCTTCACATGCAGTAATGCTCCCTTATCTACATCAAAATGAAGAATGGAGAGTGACCTGACCAGTTCGAACCAACTGCCTTCCTATTTCAGACGCTCGACCAACACAGCAATCAGGAAACACAATTCCTTCTTCATTTCTCAGTTGTCTCAAAATGAAAATTCTACCCGTTCTAAAGCATTCTGTTAACTATAAAAGACTGGTTTTAAGACTGACGGTATTCTATGTCTTGTAGCATGTACAAATATATTACCTGGTATATGGAGCGCAGTGCAGAAAAAAGAGTTGTAGCTTTCTATTTAGAACATAGAAAATATGAAAATACTTTACCATGCTTTCCTAATGGATAATAGACGCGGTTACCATTAATCCTTTCGCTTGGGTATACCGTTGGGGCGTCCTTTACAGAGACTGAACTGAAGGGCATACGGATCTCTG